CAAAACACTTGCCTGCAAAACGATAACCCGATAACCAATCCCACATGAAGCACCGCCATCCCTCCTCCCTAAGATAGACCAAATAAGGGGACAGAATCAACCGGAATCGAAGCAGACAAGATTCTSATTCAAAAGAAACATTCTACCATAACCATAGTTAAAAAAACGGAACCATACAGTAGGTCCGCAAAACAAAATACCCCTAAACAAAGGGGAAAGACAATAGGAAAAGATATGGGACATATATATATATATATATATATATATATATATCGTCATATATATATTTATCGTCAAACAGAACTGCCCGGTAAACCGTCGGCAGAGAGATTATATACATATAAACCGCATACATATACACATAATTGCACACCTATATACGTGGGAATATATGTATGTACTATGTATAGATATAAATAAATGACAGAGGGAGAGAGAGGGAACAAAGAAATGGCAGAAGGAGAGAGTACAGGATGGAGAGATGAGCGTTCGAAGGGGAGGAGAGAGAGAGAGAGAGAAGAAACAACGATTAACAATTAATGATTTTTCTGCAGCCAGATAACGGCAGAGTTCACATATTTGGCGGGAAATCGAAACCATATTTGGCGGGAAATCGGAAACTTACTTTGAAGTCAACCATCCACCCATCGCCATGAAGAAGAAGAGAAGAAGAAAGTTCACAGGCGTCAACATCTTGCCCCTCCTCTCTCTCTCTCTCTCTCTCTCTCTCTCTCTCTCTCTCTCTCTCTCTCTCTCTCTCTCTCTCTCTACACTGCAGTCCTCTGGCAACCTCTGCAACCTGTACCGTCAGCAGCACCCCGTCGGCTTCCCGCCAAACACCACGAGCTCTCTCGCCCCTCTTCCCGCCACGTGGCTGCCGCGCGCCGCCTTGATCAGGATCTCTCGTCCTGCCACGTGGCTTCTGTGCCCCTCTTCAATTGGTAAACGAACTCCAATTCACAGTCGCGACACACCTGGTCGCAATCCCATCCCGTCCCGACCCGTCCCGACACACCAGGTGCTTCCTGCGTCCCAACAACACTTGAAGTTTCCTTTTTCCCTTTTCCCCCAATCCAACAACTATCCAAATTAGGAAAGGATGAGATTTTCCGATTCAGCCAATTTCACCGCATACCTTGATCCGTCTTTCTCAATTAGGAAAAAAGGATGAGATTCTCCGAACCCAAAAGAGCCCGACTTTCCACACCCAACTCCAGTTTCAAGTTCTTGCTCGTGCGCGCCTGGATGTCCGCCAAATGCCACGTCAGCTTTCACTCATCCTCATCCTCTGCCACGTCAGCACTGCAGGATCCACGCCATTATCACTCCGCTCTTAACAGGTCAGCACAATCTTGCTCCAATTGAAACACCAATGATGATGATGATGATTATGATAATAACCGATGCAACGTCACCGCAGCCACGTCAGCCGATGACACAGATGATGGCGACGACGAACCGGCAAGCTCCTGCCTGACGTGGGAAAGCTCTCCTTATTCCCTCCTCCCTCCTCCCTCCCTCCCTCCCTCCCCTCTCCTCAAACTGCTGCCACGTTAGCGCACTCGAGCTGCAACCGAGCTCGGGCATTATCAGACTAACTGTAACGAGGAGAAGCGCATTATATAACGTCGGCCAATCAAGGACATCTGGAATGCAGGCAAGGAGAGGAGAGGAAGGGAGAGACGGAGTAAGGAGAGGGAGAGGAGAGGAAAGGAGAGAAGAGAAGAGGAGGAAAGGAGGGAGAAAAGGAAGGAAGGAAAGAGGGAGGAGAGGAGGGGACAGGAGGGAGGAGAGGAGAGAGGAGAGGACGGAGGAGAGGAGGGAGGGAGAGAGGGAGGGAGAGGGGGAGTAAGGAGAGGAGAGGAGGAGAGGAAAGGAGAGGAGAGAAGAGGAGAAAGGGAGGAGAGGAGAGGAGAGGAGAGGAGAGGAAAGGAGAGGAGGGAGGGAGGAAAGGAGGGAACGAGCTTGCTTCAATTAAGGAAAAGGATGCATCAGTGAATCGACAAAATAGGCAGCGAAAATAAAAAGGAAGAACAGCAGCAGGAGGAGGCGGAGGAGGAGGAGGAGGAGGAGAGGGAGGAGAGAGAAACCTTGCCTACGAACCTTGCAGTGCGGGTCGTTTGCTGAGAGACAGGAATGGGACACACAGAGAGAGAGACACAGAGAGAGAGAGAGAGTGAGAGAGAGAGGAAGGAGGAAGAGATGGGATAATCGACGAAAGAGGGAGAGCGAGAACGAGGGGAAGATCAGACTATGGAGGAATGATAGTGAAGAGAAAGCTCTGTTCCGAAGAAGTACAACCTCCACCACCACAACAGCGATGGTGATGACGACGAGGACAGCGATGGCGGTGCGCACGACAATGACAGCGATGGTGGTAACGAGTCGAGGAGGAGCTTTTCTGCCCAGAGGCAGGAATGAGAGAGAGAGAGGGGAAGGAGGAGGAAGAGGAATAGGTAGGGGAGGGGAGAATCAATCAATCTGGAAGAGAGAGAGAAGGGAAGACGCGGCAATGGAGAGAGGAGACGAAAGAGTAATCTCTTTTTTTGAAGAAGAAGTATCACAGCCATCAGCACGACGACGACAACAGCGACAGCGATGACGACGACGACGACGACAAGCTTGACAGCAACGTCGACGACGGACGACGACGACGACAAGCTTGACAGCGATGGCGATGGCGATGGCGACGTCGACGACGGCGATGACGACTTGACAGCGATGGCGGCGGCGATGGCGACGACGATGAAGGCGGCGATGACGACGATAACGAGGCCGACAACGAATGACGACAGCAAATAGGATCGCGATTGCGATCGGGATAGTAAGATGATCGTATCCCGGCGCCAGACTCACATCGGCAATCAATAATTGCAATAGCGCTGGGCTATTGCTATGACGACTACCTATAGCAATGGCTACGACTGCTAAAGCTATAGCTATAGCTATCGTTGATAAGGCTATAGCTATAGCTATCGTGACAGCTCAGGTCATGATAGCGAGGTATACGGCTCAGCGATCTCCCGCCAAAAAACCTCCCGCCAAAAAATCTCCCGCCAAAAAATCGCCCGCACGTCATTTCCCTCGTTCCGACACGTGTCATTCCGACAAGACCGATGGTGAGGAAAGGTGAAGAAGGATGGCGCGCCTTTTTTTCTTTCAACAAAATGCGCGGCGGGCCCTGATTGCGCCGCTCATAGCCCGCTCGCCGCCTTTTCCTTCCGTCGGGCTTGATCGCGTTAGCTGTCGCACAAGAACAGTATCAGCAAATCCGCCGGCCGCTGAGATCGACGGCACACAACTTCCATCCCTCATTCTCATTCTCTTCTTCTCCTCCTCCTCCTCTCTTCCATTGACGCCCACCTACCTCCCTAACTCCCTCTTCCTCCTCCTCTCTCTCTTCTCTCTCTCCCTCCCCTCTTCCTTCTCCTCTCCGTCTCCCTCTCTCTCATTCTTCTCCCTCCCTCCCTCTTCCTCCTCCTCCTCCTCTCCTTCTCTCTCTCTCGTCCATCCCCTCCACTACCATACCACCTCCCTCCTCCCTCCCTTCATCCCCTCCACTACCATACCACCTCCCTCCCCCCTCCCTTCTTCTCTCTGACACTCACGGCAACACCGGAAGTCAGTAATCTCCTTTGCCTGTGCTTCCACCCACCCTCTCTCTCTCCTCCGTCCTTCATCAATCCATCGCCATCGCCCCTTTCTCACCCCCTCCACCTCTTCTCCTCCACCCTCTCTCTGCCTCTCTCACACTTTTCCTAACCTATCAGACAACACAGAGACAGATGGAAGACACTTTTTACAAAATAAAAACAAAAAAAAAAAGACAGGAAAAGAAAATACGGGCACGGATATCGCGCTTATTGCGTAATTACCCTTCACCGCACATCGGACTCAAATGTGGGACTGTCTGTGTCGCTCACTCGCCCGTCTTTTCCCTCCATCTTCAGGCACTACTCTTTTGAATGCATCTGGACGTAAATCTGGTCCGATGCTTACCGGCAAGTCCGAGGGTGTCTGTGGGTTTCTCCCCCCTCCTTCCCCCCCCTCTCTCCCGCTCACTGGGCAGTAAATGCAATTACACCTACACAACCCACACACACCCACACGCATACACAAACAACCAACCTCACCCCTGCTGCGCCCCTCCACTCCCTCACATATCAAAACCCACCTCGAAAAAAAGAACAAAAAGAAAAAAAGAAAAAAAAAACCAAACTCAACGAAATGAACTAAACACAAAAAAAAAAAAAAACAAGCCTTGCTCTCCCCACTACTCACCAAATGTGTAAAATGAGATGAGAATGAATGTTATGCTAAAACATCGAAAGATACACCACCATTTTTTTGTCTATTGTTTTCGTGCATGTGGAGAGTAGTGGAGCGAGGCCCGCCGGAAACTACCGTAGTAAACACAAAAAGAAAAAAGAAAAAAAAAAAAAAAAAAAGAAGCATAAACTACTAAACACACGCACATTCACGATAGCAGAAGCAGCACGCACGCGCACCAACCCGCGCACAGGCAGATACGGACCCTGGACGCGGGGCGCGGGGCGCGGGGCGCGGGCCGCGGAGGGCGGCGCGCGATCCCTACGCTGAAAGAAGGACCGCACTCCCCTCCCCCACCTCCCTCTGCCCCCTTCTCATCGCGATACACGCGTGCGGGTGTGCACGTGTCCTTCACCCTTTTTCTTTTTCTTTTCCTTTCTTTTTTTTTCTGTCCTGTGCGTGCGTGAGCCGGCGCCAAGTCCCACCTACCCAATTTGTCAATTTCTGACCGTAGATTACGAAGATCAACGGCCAGAAATGAAGAACCAGCGTAAGTGGGACTTGGCCCCCGGTCCAGTCGACTTCAGCGTACCTCACGCTCGCTTGCAGCACTTTTTCGACGGCACTGTACTTAGCCGTGAATACGGTCACGTGAACCCGAAGAAAGTCCGAAATACGTCCGTCTACGCCCTTATCTCAGGGCGATGGTCCCCGTCCCCGGGGCTACCGGTAGGTCCCACTTACACGAATTAAGAGATATTGACCGTAGATAACAAAGATCAACGGTCAGAATCTCTCAATCCGTGCAAGTGGGACCTTGCCTCCGGCCCCGTCCAGTCCGGTCAATCGTCGGCCTTCACGACTGTCCTCCCCCGAATACAAGACACCCTAATAACCAATGTAGACAAGCTATTTTTCCTGTAAGATGCAGCCAAATGGGGTTGCGTTGTAAAAACAAAAAAAAAACAAAACAAATGGGGGTGCGTTGTGTTGGGGCGAACGGGGTAGTTCACACCCTCCCCAGGGGCCAGGTCCCACTAGCAGCGTTGAGCTACCTCAACGCCTGAATAGGGACGTTCTTGCGGAGATGTGCAGAGATGGTGTTGAGTTTCCTGAACTGCATGTCTCCACAAACACGTCCAGATTCAGGCGTCGAGGTAGCTCAACGCTGCTAGTGGGACTCGGCCCCAGCCAGAATCAGTTCCGTTGTTGTTCGAATAACAAAGATTTAGACCCAAAAAAAAAAGGGAAAGAAAAAAGAAGATCACCCCCCTGCCCATGTGGCGGGGCCGATGGCTGAATGATACACCCGACACCCGGGGCTAAGTCACACTGGCAGCGTTGAGTTTCCTCCGTGCCCGAATCTGGACGTGTTTGTGGAGATGTGCAGGAAACCGCGTCGAGTTTTCTCAACCGCACATCTCCACAAACACGTCCAGATTCGGGCGCTGAGGGAACTCGCCGCTGCTACGTAGTGGGACTTGGCCCCCGTGCACTGTTGATGCGCATAGCCAGAGTTCGAATCCAACCGAATCAGATTAACAAAATCTCTGAATTACCTGAGGCTGGTCAGTGCGACCTGATACCTCTCAAGGACGCCACCCTTTCTAAACGAAAGCGAAAAATGATCAAAAAAATAAAATAAAATAAAAAGAAGCGAAAAATGGACCCTTTCTGTTCTGGATTCATCCATGTCATCCTTGCGCAGGGGCCATGGTAATCTTCTCTCTCTGTGGGCCTACCGGTAGTTGCACGACGCCCCATCCGCCTGCAATTTGAATGCATCTGAACAAAGCTGAGTACACATGCATTCAAAATGTCGTTCGCAAAAAAAAAAAAAAAAAAAAAAAGAAAGTCGTTCGCAAGTAAGCAGTGCAAGTGCAGCAGGCCCTGTATCGTGGATGCCCCAAAGGGCCACGGCCCTTTTTCAAAAACAAGGGCAAAGAAAAGGGCCCAGAACGTCTGTAACCGCTGATGGACAGATCACGAATCCAGATACAATCAGAATGGATACATGCAGAGATCAGGTGTTCGAATCCTGGACCAGGCGGGTACATAATTATCAACAACAGAAGGAGAAAGACCCCTTCGTTGAAAATGAGAAGGGCAAAAGAAAGCCAAGAGCACTCCCGAAGATTACAGGCCTGACACGGACATGTGGAAAGGGTGTAGAAGCAGATTCTGCAAGGTCCCTAAAAGCCAAAAAAGGTACCCAAAAAACAAGGCAACAAAAACAGAAAAGGACTTCAGATTCAGTCATGGTGCAGTGGCAGTTTTTTTCCTTGACGTTCATTTGTTCTTAGAACGGAGTAGCCCCTACCCTTCTGGTATCCATCTGGTTTTATAACACATTATCTGCTTACTGATAGACACGCTCATTCCACCACATGGACCGGGTGTGCGGCAACCGTTGGGCCGGTAGCTTTTATTGTGTTTTTTTCTTTTAAACCACCACTCCTCCCGACAACGGAAAATTGGCATTCCGGGACCACAGGGCCGGAAACGGCGGGGGTCGTCCGACCGATTGCCCTCGAATTTCCCAGGTGGTCATTCCGTGTAGCGGTACGGAGGGCAATGGCCTGAATGTGGAAACGTCGGGTGCGGCGGCCTTGGTGGACCGCCCGCGCGGTTCAAACCACGGCCTTGAGATATCCATTGGGGCAGGCCGCGAAATCCAGGACAAAAAAATGCACATACGAAAAACAAATACTAATAATTAAAAATAAATAAATAAATAAATTTAGTGAGTGAGCGAGCACGTTTTCGACACCGCCATCTTTTTTTGGCGATTTTTCATTTTTGTTTAGCATAGCTAAATGCGCTGAAAATTTACAGATGTGTATCTCACATAATGCAAAACCGACTAAAAAAGTTTCAAAAAAAAAAAAAACTGTTTAGACCCCGAACCAAAGTGAAAACATCAAGTAAAAAATGAAAAAAAAAGTGGGCGAGCACATTTTGAAACCGCTATATTTGACGACTTTTAATTCTTGTTTGGCTAAGGCAAATGACTTGAAAATTTATAGGCAGTTACCTCACGTCACAGAAAACTTACAAAAACAAATTCAGAAAAACAACATTTGTTTTAGGCCCCGAAATAAATTTTGGTGGGGGCCGAACGCCGTCGGGTTCGGACCCCGTACGGGACTCCGAACACCCGTATGTACAGAGGTACAGAGGTATGCCCGGGGACCTCCGTACGTACGGGCTGGTGACCCTGTATACATATATGACGATATATATATATATATATATATATATATATATCGTCAAATAGAACTGCCCGGTAAACCGTAGGCAGAGAGGGAGAAGAGGACAACAAACGAGGGG